TCGAGCCCGAGGCTATTTGGCGAATTAGTTGCTTTCTTCTTTTCTTCAATTTTTTGGCTAACTCTTTTCCTTCAAAACTGTATAAATCTCATAAACTTCATTAAATTCCCTCATCTCTCCTCTCATAAGAAAAGGAAAGAAAAAAAACTAGTCTAAAAAGCATTAAAAATACGAGTTGCCTCCCGCAAAGCGCTGGTTTATCTAGGTCCCGCATGAGCTTCTTACCAAGTACAAGAACTAAGACCCATGGCCTATCGCTTGATCGGGCGGTTTCTCACCTGGTCGAGCGGTGTTTTGGCTACGACGCGGCTTCCTGACATGCCCTGTGGGATGCCAATTCACCTTATCTGGTGGATCCTCCTTGACTTGGATTGGGGGTTCTTCAATGCTACGCACTAAAGATCCTTCTTTGATCGAGGGTTGCTTCAAATTGTAATTGCATTTAACACTTGCAACTCGATCTGGCGGAACACTTACCGTAGGCTCAATTTGCGCAACTTGCTTGATTGATTCCACCTTTTCATCCTCAAAACCAAGACCGACAGTGTATAGGGCTCTTTCTATTGCATCAACTTCCTTCTGCCATTTGTCTATCTCATCTGAAAGGAATGCAACACAAGATACCGCCTCCAAGGGATCTTTTTCAAGAGCTTGGGGCTTGTTAGAATAATTCTGAACCACATTAACACTAAAGCATTTTTCCTCTGTAATGGGGCTTTTAAGGGTATTATTAAGATTAAAAACAATTTTATCATCCCCTACTGATAGTGTTAATTTACCACTTCTCACATCTATAATTACTCCTACAGTGTTAAGGAATGGTCTACCCAAAATGATTGGAGTTTGCATATCCTCAGCCATATCAAGAACAACAAAATCAACAAGTATATAAAATTTACCTACTCTAACGGGAACATCCTCTAAAACACCTAAAGGGTATTTGAAAGAACGGTCGGCCATTTGTAGAGTAATATTAGTAGCTTTTAATTTATCCATATTCAATTTGGAACACTAACGCTAACGCTAGCACCCAAATCACACAATGCATTATCGATCATTAGATTGCCAATATGACAAGGGATAGAAAAGCTACCCGGATCTTTTAATTTAGGTGGAGATTTATTTTGAAGTACGGCACTACACTCTGCAGTGAAAGCTACTGTCTCTACCTCACTAATAGACCTTTTTCTTGTCAATATTTCTTTCATAAATTTTGCATATGTAGGAATTTGTGTGATTAATTCAGTGAAGGGAATTGTTACCTTCAAATCTTTTACCATCTCTAGGAACTTACCAAACTACTTATCCAAATTTGTTTTCAGTTGACGATTGGGGAATGGAAGTTTGATAATTGGCTTTGGAGCATTATTGCTCTTATCTGGAGTGGCCACCTTCTCTGGAGTCGTCCCCTGCAATGTAGAATTAGATATATTAGTACTATGCTTTAGCCCTGAAAGGCTATTAGCTACATTGTCTGGTTTAACGGAATCAAGATTAGCATTATTAATCAAAACAAGTTCATCAACTCTGGGCATAAGGGGCCCTTCATAGTTTGAACCACTCCTTAGAGTAATTGCATATGCTTGATTCGTAGGCCTGATCGGCTGTGCTGGCAGAGCTCCCTGTTGGCGGGCTTGCAGAGTAGCGAAAAGTTGCGCAATTTGATTATCTACAATTTTATTGTGTGCTAAAATTGAATCAATTTGTGCATCTCTACTCTCCATGTGCTTTTGCATATTAACCAACATCGCTCTAACGGAAGATGAGGAGGATTGTTGTGGTTGGTTCTTCTGGCCATCATTGGGATGGTAATATTTCTACTGTTGTTGTTGTGGCGCCTGTGATTCTTGTGGTGGTGGATTCTGAACATTAGTACTCCGATAGGAGAGGTACGAATGATTCTGATACCCAGGATTGTAGGTGTTGGAGTACGGGTTATTCTGCCTATAAGCTTGAAAGGCATTAACTTGCTCCACGGAACTCCTGCAATCTTGTTCCAAATGACCTATAATTCCACAATTTTCACAGAAAGCCTCATTAGCATTATTATTAATTGCAGAAACATTAGCTATAGTAGCAGTGCTAAGATTATCTAATTTTTGGCAGATAGAGGTCAATTGAGCTTGCAAAAAGGATACAGAGCCAACACTATGCTTCCCCTTGTTAGCAAAGCCTCTAGGATTCCCATATTGGGAATTATGTATCGCCATATCTTCAATAACCTGACCTGCATCATCAACATTAAGATTCATAAACCTCCCACTAGCTGCAGAATCTAAAATTATTCTAAATGAATTTCCAATGCCATTGTAAAAGGCTTGGATTAACTGCCATTGTGCCAAATTATGGTGGGGGAATTCTCTTTGTAGGTCCTTGAACCTCTCTTAAGCCTCATATAAAGTTTCATCTGCTTCTTGGGCAAAGTTCTTAATCGCACTCCGTAGTGCGGTTGTTCTCTCCGCAGGATAATACTTGTTATAAAAATTCAAAACAAGAGTTTCCCAGTCAGTTATACCAAGTGCAGTTCTATTTAAACCATTAAACCACAATTTAGCTTCTCCAGTTAAAGAGAAAGGAAAGAGAATCTCCCTGATTTGGTCTTGTGTGACCCCGGCTTGCCTGATGGTATTACAATATTGACAATAGTCTGCAATGTGAAGATTTGGGTCTTCCCCCTTAGCTCCACTAAATTGCTTCCTCTCTATCATCGTTATAAAGTGAGGTTTAATCTCAAATTGTACCCCATCAAGAGCCGGAGTGGGAGTGAGATGTGGAAAATCTGTAAGCTTTGGTTATGAGTAATCACTAAGCTTCTTTGGAGCCGTCATCTCTGATTCTGGATCTGATGATACCTCTGAATCGCTAGAACCAGTTGGAGGATCTCGGTGATTATTATTATCACCAGAGTCCGTCAGAATTTGCTTGTAAAGGTTCTTCTGTCTATGGAAGGATCGTTCGATCTCGAGATCGAATGGGATGTACCCTGATCTGGAACACCTGGGCATAAACAAAAAAAAAAATAAAAGCAAATATGAGACTTGCCTCAAAGAACTAACGTTTTCTAAGACAAAAAGAAATAACCTAGACTACAAAAATAATCAGAAATAAAAATAAAACCGTTTCCCCGGCAACGACGCCAAATTTTGACAGGGTGAAGTCGTTTCCCCTAATCAAAAGTAATTCCTAAATCCTCTAACTAACGTAGATCGAGAAGTAGGGTCCAATCCACAGAGAAACGAGTCTTTCTATTCCTAATTAACTAATATAATCTAGATTATGAAGTAACCAATATGTAAATTTGGATAATAAACTAAACTACGGAGATTAAGAATAAGGAGAAAACAATATATAAAAGGATCTAGGGCATAGGTTCACCAATAAATAATATTCCAGGGTAAAACATAATAATCAATCATCAATGCATACATTAATCAGATCATAAAGGGCTTTCGCTACGTATTACAATCACACAATTAATTTACCGGTATTAAATCTTATCTCTCGAATCTCGACTTAACCATTTATAAATTAACCTTCCTATTGAAACTAGACCTAAACATTAATTCTCATCTGTCGAATCTCGAATCAATATTGTTAAACTCATGCATAAAAGATCTGCGCAAATCTAGTCACAGAGCATTAAATCAATCAATAGGAAATTAATCTAGCATTGACAATCAACAACAATAAATTACCCCTTCATATTATTTATGGATCCCCATAAACCCTAGAAATAGAACTACTCACACATAATAAAAACTAAATTAATCAAAGCAATAAAACAAGACATGATCAAAAGAATAAAATAAACAACCAAGATTAAGAGAAGAGAAATCGTTACCAAAATAAATCTGGAATTAAGAATAGAAGTTAAGAACAAAAGTATAAGAGAGAGAAACTAATCTAAAAGCTAAGTAGAGAGAGAGAATCTAAGAAAATAATTAAGAGTAAAGAAGAGAGTACTAAACTCGTTTTACAGAGAAATATTTATACTCCATAAGAATCCTAAACTAAAACAAACTTAAACTACGCTAATCGTCTCCTAACAATAACACGTGTTCGATCGGGCGCGCTTTTTTCCTCTCAAGTACAATTCTCGTGCCCGGCCGGGCGCGTTTTCGGGCGCCGACCTTTGCTTCCCTCGCCCGGCCGGGCGCCAGCCTCTTTGGCCGGGTGGCTCTCTTGGGCCATTATTTGGACTACGATAGGGCTCCAATTTTTCGGGCCAATCTGGGTTTCCTCTTCGGGTCTCGAATACTCGGTCCAAATGCCCCGGTATCACATATACCGAGCCCTTAATCACCGGTTCGATGGCTCTAACCGACCCTGGGCTATAAAAACTGGTCGTGCTTCTCCAATTCTCGTAATTGCTCCATAATATATCGGGAAAATGCTCCAAAAGTGAAAATCCCTACAAAAGTCAACCAAAACTATGAAAACACTAGAAAACACCAATTAGTAATAAAAGTGGCTCTAAATAGCCAAAAACACTACTAATTATGACCAAAGGACGGGGGTGAAATACTATATAAAATAGACACATCAGACACATAAACCAAATACGGAGTAATACGTATGAAAACTAGCAGGTCTACCACCCAAACAAAATGTGTAAATACACGCCAATACAAATTCTCTACAAGAGCTAACTCTTTAGCGCGCATCGTGCGTGTAGGCCACCCTAGTAAATATTAAAAAAATTATATAATTTTACATAGTTAATATTAATGTAATTATCAACATAATTTTACATGATTAATATATAGTATACTTATTTCGGTTAATTTGGTTGTTTGGATCCAAATACGGTTAATCCGATCCGATCCGATCCAAAAATTCTAATTTTAAAAAAATTACAATCCGATCCGATTTAAAGTTTGGATCCAATCCGAATTAATAATTCGGTTTGGATTAGATTGTATTTCGATTTTTATCCGAATAATGGACACCGATAAGCTCGCCGCTACCCCTGTCGGCTCCCACACGACCAACCCTAAAGTTTCAAGGGTGGGGAGGGCCTGATTCGAGGTTTAAATTGGTGGGAGAGGTTTTTTTTAGGGGTTTTGGGTTGGGGATTTGTGGGTTTCGGGTTGGGGATATGGGGTTTTCAGGAGGTGGGTTCTGTAGGTAGGGGGGAAAATTCAACGGTGTCGGCTCGGGAAAAGTGTTTCCGGGCATCGACGGTGTGTGGGAATTTGGTGGATGGTGGTGGGGAGGGTGGTCATGGGTTGGGGCTGTTTTTTTTTATTATTATTTATTTTTTTTTATTTTTATTTTCATTATTTTTTCTTAAATTTTATTATTTTAGAATTGTAATTAATTTTTAAATTAAAAACCTTAGGTTAACCATTTTATCATAAAAGCTAGCCATAAAACCAAAAATGATACTACATTAAATTTTGTAAAACCAAAGTGCCACTTAGCAGAGTAGGAAAAGAAGTTTTTTTTTTTTTTGGTACAAGTTTCCTTCTTACTATTTTTACTAGTACGTATTATCTTTCTTATAGTCTTACTCCAATAGACCAATATAGTGTGTCGCACACTCGCACGGTCGCACCATCGCATAGGTTATGTTTAGTTGTTTACTTATAGCAGGCGAAAAACAATTACGTTCGTTATTAAAGTTAATTTTGGGGCAAATCCCGTTGGAACGTTTGCCCTCATACAATGCCTGAAGAACATTCATCAGCTCCACCGCCGCAGCCGCCGTCTCAACCATCGCTGCAGCCGCCGTCTCAACCATCGCCGCAGCCTTCGCTGCAGCTTCCGTCTCAACCGTCGCCGCAACCGCAGCCTCAGCTACCCGAATCTTTATCATGTCCTTCAACCCCTGTTCCCGAGTTCGACCCAAGTCGAAGTATCTTCTCTCTCATCTAATTAATTTTTGCTAAATTTCTAATTCATGTACTATTTTTCCTTTTTCCTTGGTCAATTTCCTTAAAGCATTATCGATTTCTTGTTTCAACACTTTCTGAATGCGTGTTATTACTTCGGTGCTTTTTATTCCGATTTTTAGTTCAATGATGTTAGGGTTTATATACATACATATATATATATATATGTGAAATAATAGTAGTTCTCCATAGTAAATATGTTTAGGAATGTTTACTGATATTCAAGTTTACAGTTAGTGAAATTGAGTTTATAATTCAAGCATTTATAATCACTCAAAGTACGGGTCTTGGATATATAAGTTTCTGTTTATAATGGCTTCAAGTTTATTGGATATAATGACTTATATGTTGCTCGCTCTGACCGGATAATGATAATGCTCCTGCTGTCCGGAATTGATTGTCATGTTGATTGTTTAATTTGAACTAATGATCCAACCACTAACGAGGCTATTGTATAAATTCTTATACCGAACTTCTGTATTTAAGTATGTGTAGTAGCCCTTCGTATATTTAGACAGCTTTGTATTGTTGTTGCACCTTGTTGATTATCTAGGGAACATGATTTGTTTCTAAAAATTTGTTTGGGAAAACATATAGGAATTCTATTTGGTGGATTTTTTTTTCCCATATTCTATAGTGATCTTATAGAATGGTATAAATCTTTGAAGTGACCTTTTTTCATTAAATGACTAACCATTTCTGATTTTGGTTTCATTTTTAACTTTAATACCTAAATTACTAACCTACACTCTTGATTAATTACTAACCCACACCACCACCCTCCACCCAAAACTAACCCCTTTCCCCGGCAGTCCTTAGCTTCTCGCACCCAACGGAGCACCAAGCAACATCCACCAAGCATCATACACAACACGCATTCCCTCGCTCAACCTAGCTGCTGCCACGACACAATCACTACGATTTAGTTGGGTTTTGGGGATTTAGCGTGAGTATGGGGTTGTAGGTCTGGGTTTTCAAGGCGGGGCGAGATTTTTGTGATGGCGGGTCTAGGGTTTTAGAGTGGTGGGGGTAGATTTTCAAAGCAGTGTGAGTGAATTTGGGGAAAAGGGGAAGAATGATTTAGGTGGCTGTGGTGGGTTTTTGGTTGGTGAGCTTGGATCTGGAGGAGGGGGGAATTTAGTTGATGGAGATGGGTGGGTTTTCGTGATTGGTGGAGGTGGCTGTGTTTCGTGGCTAGGCTAGGTAGGTGGGTTTTTTTGGGCAGTGAATGAAGTTGATTTTGGATGAAGGGGTGGATTTCGGTGGTGGAACTCGCTGGTTTTTTGGGGTGGTTGTGGCGGGTGTGTGTACTGTGGGGTTAACGGTGAACTGATGGATGGTTGTGGGGTCAATGATGGTGGTAGTGTGGTTTGGTGTTAATTAACTAAAGGGTAAGTTGGTAATTTACTTTATTTAGGTTAAAAAATAATCTTTAACCAATGGGTTAGCCATTTTAATGAAAATTTGCACACTACATAGAGTTAATCAAATCTAGAGGGTCACTAGAAACTATGGGCAAAATTTTTTTTTCACCAAATAGAATTTCCATATCTTAGAGGCCACCAAGTACAATTTCCCAATTTGTTTTGGTTCGGATGTGCCAACATGTTTCCTGTCTATGATTTCTTTTCTTTGGCTGTTTGGTGCTCAGGCAATAGAGGTCTAATCTATTTGTATGATTTTTGTTCATCTTTGGCATAATGATTTAGGGTTTTGACACACGTTTTCATTTACTATTCTGGAATGTTAGTACTGATGTTATCTAAATCTTATCTCCTTTTTCCTTTGGGTACTTGTTTTGCAATCTGCAAAGTGATTGGTATCATTAGACGGAAAGCTTTGATTAAAGACTTGGCTGCAGCTTACCATGCTGAGTGCCTCGATTACTGTCAAGAGCTTCTTGAACTTCAGCGAAGATGGGAAGAGGTAACCTTAACGAATTCACATGTCCCTATTGCGAAATCTTTTTCTATGTGGGATTTTCTGTATTTTTACATTTTGTCTCATGAAGAAACTGAATCTGTTTTGCCGTATATTTTCCTTACCAATCACTGAGTATGTATCAAACCTGTTGATTATAGATGGGTACAGCCTTATACTGAGTATGTATCAAAGTACATTGCTAATCAATAACAGCTTCAGAATACTATTAACTGCATCATCATGTTAAAAGCATCAACCTTTTATGCAAACTAATACTTCTGTCTTTTTATACTTTATCTCTGATTTTGGCTTAACAACACTCCTGTGGTTTATGGTAGTTTTCTTTCTTTTTCCCCGATCTTATCTTGTGAAACTTCATCTATCTTTTTTTTTTTATCTCTTAAAAGTTAATTTATAATCATCACTAGTACTTCTGTCTTTTTATACATAATTCTAATGGCCCTTGCACATTGATTTAGCCAGTTGTGCGATTTTTGAATCCAAACACTTTGTAGTATGTCGATGTGTCATTTCTATGTTTAAAAAAAATTAGAAACTCTTGTTCATTTTCAAAAATTTCTCCTACCTAATGAGGAATGGCTGCTTCAGCAGAATGGAATCTATGCAAGAAGTAAGCTATAATGTACTTATTAAATTTGAACTCCCTTATCCCTTTTACCAGAACCACCCTCTCTGCCGAAAGATAAGACCATAGATGACTGAAAAACATTGCGATGAATTGAATATGATGTTGGTTCAATACAATACTTTTATGCTTGGAATTGGACCACACTTGATTATTAACTATTGATGTCTGCAAGATATAGCTAGAAATTGATGGGTAAATTTTTGGCCATTAAAAGGCAAATTATGAATGACATGTGTGGGGATTGAATGTTGAAAGTCGGTGTGAACAGAAAAAGAATTAAGGGTTGTGTTTCCTTTGTATGCTTATCTGACCCAAGAGAATTTTGAAGTCTGAGGAATTTGCTAAAGTCGCTACTTTTATTTTTATGAATTGCTATCACTATTATAGTGTATCATGTGTTTCGGCATCTAGATTAGACCACATATGTTTATGATTATTTTTTGGAAAGTTAGATGGTGTTTTCTTGTATGTCTGCTGGTGATTTAAGATTGAATCGGAGAATACAAATATAGAAGTTGCCTGCTTTTATGTTGAAGCTGATCAAGCTTTGAGGTGCATTAGTCTTCAATTTTTTTTCTTCTTTATTTCCAAGTTGTAGAAATATTGTTCTTCATTATACAAGGTTGCTAGTTAATAGTTATTGCCCTTGGTACTGTTGAATGAGTTATTATGTATTCTCTGCCATAGTATTCTTCCTGTCATATATATTTAATATAGCTAGTAATCTGAAACAAAACAAAGCTCTTGTTTGTTTGTATAAACTGAGAAAATGATGCTGGTAGTTCATTTTAGTACTCTTGGGCTGTGCATTTTTGTCTCCTTTTTTCTCTTTCAAATTTTTTAACAACCCTGAAAACACAGACATATAAAGAAATCAAGACATTTGAAGATTCAAAAAAGGATTATGTTCGACCATCCAAGCGTGTGAAGAAAGTTCGTTAAATTCAAACTTAGTGTAAGAGTACTAATTTATCTAGTTCTGTAATCTTCAATATTCTAGTTTTGATTCTCATCTTGTTACTGTAAATGAGCAGGATTTATATGGTTTCGGAGATCTGTACAGGAAAAAAATGCAGCCATTAATTTATCAGAAAGTTAGAGATGGGATATGCAACCTTCCTTCTGTAGTATGATAAGCAGCCTGACTTGATTTACCATAAGGTCACAAAATTACACAAATTTGACGGTTAGGAATTAGTGTAAATTTATATACCACGGAGTTATTCTTGGTTTATGCACCGAGATAAATTTTCTGTCAGTTTTATTCATTTGTAGTTTACTTTAGTTTTGTAACCTGGCTTGCGCGCTTTGTTGCCTTAAGAGTTGTTTCCTTTCGCATTGTTCTTTTTATGGCTTCATGTTGTTTCGAAAACTATATTACTCAATAGTCAAATAAAGTTACTATTCCATAATAGTCATTCAGTTTTAAATTTTTTTCCTTGATTTTTAAACCCACAATTACAAATTTCCGCAAACAACTATAATTAGGTATCATTTAGTTATCCCTTTAAAAAAAAGGTATTATTTGGTTGAGGGGTACCAACTTTTCATGTGCACTCAAATTTCCTAGTATGTATGTTGTTTCATAAGCAAAAAAAGGGAAAAAAACAGAAAGTTTAAATTCCTTGGGAATTTGAAATTTCAAGGAATTTAAACTTTCTACATAATATAGGAATTAAAATGTAAGAAATTTAATTATTTAGGGCATGTTCTGATTTAATGAGCTGAGCAGAGCTGAACTGATTAGAGTTGAAACTGAATTGAACTGAACATTTTATGAGAGAAGGAAATTAGGAGTTGAACTTAACTAAACTAAACCGTTTTATAACGGAGTAGAACTGAACTGAAATGAATTGAAATTAAGCTGAAGAGAAAAGGTCCTTTTAACCAAACCTTAGTGATTTGTTCTCATTTGGATTCCCGAGGTTTCTTCCCGGGTTTTGCATTGATTGGGATGCTTAGTGTCTTCCATTTGAAGCCCAAGTATGGAGATGTACAAGTTCCAAGTTTCCTTAGGTCGTGCATTCAAGCCGTGAGGGCACCAATTTTGGTGTTGAACCCATCGTTAAGGTGTTTAGAATCTGCCATGTTCTGTGTTCATCAAGCACACCAAGAGGAGCGCACGAGGAGCGTTAAGTTGAAGGGGAAGAGAACTGCCCTGATCCTAGGCGCGTGCGGGCGTGACAATGATGCGGTCGCGCAGTGTGGTGGCACAGGCGCGCGGTGCTCTGGCGCAGCCGCGCCGGTTGCTTCCTGTTCCATACCCTCTTTTGCGTGGCCGCGCATCTTCTTGAAGAAGGTCGCGCCTGTACAGGTCTATTTTGGACGATATAATTAACTTCTCTTTGTTAGCTTTACTATATATAGTTTTTTCTTGTATTTTTAGAGAGAGAATTCATTGGATTATTTTTCATTAGATAATTCATTAGAGAAGAATTAGAGAATAGTTTAGATCATATTTTAGAGAGAGAAACTCATGGTTGATGATTGATGATTGATTCTAAGCACATTTCCTTTAATTTCATCAAATTTTGTAAGGAAATCTTTTACTTTAATGTAATCTTTAGCTTTTGATTTCAATTGTTTTGTTGCTTGTTTAAGTTTATTAAGTAGTTGATTGAATTTGTTTGATTGAAATGATAATGATGAGTTTGTTGAGTTGCTTAGTTTTGATCTTGATTTGTTCCATGATTGTGAGTAGTTTACTTGCTAAGGATGTGGTGAAGCATGTTTGAGTGATGGATCATAGCTAATTGGGTTTTTTTTTTTTTTTTTTTTAATTTTATTTTATTGATTTAGCATTGTGATTAAATTGGTTGATTAATTTTGTGTATGTATGTGATTAGTTAAAGAGTAGCTAACTTTAATTGTCATACTAGATTGCATTGTGTGCCTACATTGATACGGACCATTGATTTGTAGCTCACATTTGTCGATTGAGCTTGGTTAGTGACGTTCCTAGTTAGAGTCTTTCGTAGTTGGCGCTAGCTAGACCTCTAAAGATAGCTTGTCGAGCTCTTTTGATTGCATTATCTATCTTCCCTCACAATACTCGAATTAATCAATCTCGAACCCGATTAGTGTGTGTCCATTGCAAGTATATGTGGATCCTAAATCCCTAGTGTCTTGATATATTGATTTACTTGGTTTGATTAGTTGAATTAGATAACCTACACTACCATCTTACCTTTTGAAATAGCTTGACATTGGTCGTAGCAAACTCCCCCCTATTCCTAGTGGTTCGACCCGAACTTGCCCTATTACTAGGTGTAGGTTTGGTTATAAATTTATTTTGATTGGAGGAATTTTTGTTTCAATGACCTAGAATCCACCCTCTCTCAAAATGGCACCGTTGCCGGGGAATGGCGTCGTTATTTGCTATTGTTGTCGAGTCTATTTCATTTCTTCAAAAATACAAAAGGATTTTTCTCTTTTAGGCTACACTTATAGCCGTGCTACTAATTACTTCTTTGAGATTGTATGCATAGGACAAGAGGAAGGACTTTAGTACCTTTTGATCCAGAGATTGAGAGAACAATCGCAAGGATAAGAGTTGCTAGACTATACTTGAGTTCTAGCCTTTTCAAGCGAAAAAGAATTTCAAGAAGAAGAACAAGGAAGCACGGGGGAGGTACCAAGGGTTGCTTTGAAGGAGTTGGGAACTCTCGGTGCCTATAGATTTGAGAGTGGTATTGCTCCGCCAACAACACCGGCTAATGACTTTAAGATAAGGCCGATGATGATAACGAGGACTGAAAGAAGGCAATTTAGTGGTGCTAAACACGAAAGCCCACTAAATCATCTCAAAGAATTTGAAAAATATTGCAATACAATCAGGGTCAAGGGGTTTCTTTGAATTCATAAGGTTCAAGCTATTCCCGTTCTCTTTAATTGGACGAGCATTGGAGTGGCTATATAAAGAAGTGAAGCCTAATTTTTTGAGAACTTGGGATGAGATCACCAAAGAGTTTCTTTCTCACTTTTACCCTCAAAAGAAGACCGCCGAGGCAAGAACTCTAATCCAAAGTTTCAAGCAAAAAGCTAGCGAGAGTTTGTATGAGGCTTGGGAAAGATACAAGGAAAATCAAAGAGAATGTCCTCACCATGGAATCTCGACCTACCAAATCATACAAATATTTTATGGACGACTGAGTCCCCAAGGAAAGTCATGTCTTAATGTCGGAGCCGGAGGCCCGATAATGAACAAGAACGAGGAAGAAATTGTTGATATCATAGAAGATGTAGTTCGTCACTACATGGATTGGCAAGAGAGAGAGAGAGAGAGAGAAAGAGAGAGAGAGAGAGAGAGAGAGAGAGAGAGAGAGAGAGAGAGAGAGTCTATAAGCAAAAGTGGCTCAACGGTCTACTCAATTGACCATCTCAATGCCATTAACAATTTGTCCTCCCAAATCTCAAACTTGGGGAAGAAGATGACATCAAATGTATGAGTCTTCCCTCCCACATTAAGGGGAGAGGTACATCTTCTAACTCTACTCCTCCTTCTACTTCAAGTAATATGCCAAATGGATGTGTATTTTGTGATGTTTGTGGGTCATGTGACCATGATTCTTCTAGTTGTCCACATGCATTTAGAATTGTCATGATGTTGAGAACAATGATTATGAACAAGTGAATTTTGTTTCTAACAACAACAATGGACAAAGATTTGAAGGTTTAAGGAATTTTGGGACCAAGAATGCTCATTAACAAGAGAATTTTGATAAATACAACAATGGTGGTTAGGAACCAAGGAAATCAAGGTTTCCGAGGTTACTATAATAATCAAGGTTATAGTAATCAAAACCAAGGCCAAGAGTATGGAAATTAAGGCCAATTTCAAGGCTTTGGTGGCTGATACCAAAATTATGGCAACAATCAAGGACGAGGTAATTGGAGCAATAAAAATAGGGGCAATTTTCAAAACAACAATCATAGAGGACCCCCACCCGGATTTGCTCCAAGACCTCAAGGCAAAGGTGATAATTCCTATGCTTAACCCTCATCTTCTAGAACTAACTTGGAGGAGATCATTGAAAACCAAACAAAAATTTTAAACACTTACATTTGGGTGAGTGACAAGAAGTTCAATGAGATGATGACACACAACAAAATGCTTGAGACTCAAATCACTCAACTAGCCACTGCCTTGAAAGATTGTGTTAGCCCTTCTTCATTACCTTTTCAAGGAGTTGATCCAAAGAAACTCATCTATTCTATTACCACAAGGAGTGGGAGAGTGCTTGAAGAGAGAGTTTCTATGATGAGTGAGGAGGATGAGAAGAGGAGTGACTCAAGTGAGAAAGAAGAGAACGATGTGTCAAAGAATGTGAGCAAAGAGGAAGCTCAAGAGACAAAGAAGAGTGTTGAGAAAGTGCAAGAGGAAGTGATAAAACCCGACCTTCCATATTCCCAAAAGATTTTGAGGAACAAAATTGATGAACAATTTGGCAGAAGGAAGTTCATCTGTCAATCCCTCTCACTGAAGCCATGACCCAAATGTCTAGATATTTCAAATTTCTTAAGGATATCTTGGGTGGCAAGAGAGAGTGCAATGAGATAGATTCGGTAGAGGTTGGGGAGTGTTGTAGTGCTTTGATTCATTATGACTTACCCAAAAGATGAAAGACCATGGCAATTTCTCCATTCCTTGCAAAATTAAAGGCAAATTGTTTGAAAATGCATTGTGTGATCTTGGTGCTAGCATTAGTATCATGCCTTATTCCGTCTTCAAGAAGCTTAAGTTAGGAGAGTTTCTTCCTACCAACATGACTTTGCAATTGACCGAAAGATCCATTAAATTCCCCAAGGGAAGGGTGGAGGATGTTCCCCTTAAAATAGGTGGTTTTACTATTCCCCTTGATTTTATTATGCTTGAAATTGAAGATGACCACATACCTATCATTCTAGGGAGACCTTTCTTAGCTATTTCAGGAGCTTTGATTGATGTTAAGGGAGG